TTAAGTCTTATTTAAACTATAGGTCTGTTGAATAAAACTTGATATCATACTTAACCATATTATTTATTGATAAAATTAAATTCCTTACAATTTACAATATCCATAAAATTAAATCATAACAATGACTGATAAACACTAATGTGCATTACCTTGGAAACTTTGGGTAAGTCAGGTTGGTATGTTTTTAATTTTTAGGCATGATTCCAGGTTCTCATAAATAAGACAGCTTCTCAATTTACTCTTGATAAGATTCATGCTTGAAAATGATGGTCCACATAAATATGACCTGAATAAAGAAAGAACAGCAAACACTAGTTTTTTTCAGTTGATTGTATGAGTTAGGAATACTATTCCAGGTGTTAAAAATCAATACATCTTCCTTCTCCAGGTCTTTTAAAGCAAACCACTTGTGCTGTGAACTAAGTTCACATTTTTTTTCTCCAATATTTCTATATCAGCACAAAGACATTCAAATTTCGAGCTCCACAATTGTTTTTTAAATCCAGCAATTGCATTTCAAGCTGCCAATGTCAATATTAAAGGGAGAAAACTCTAATTCTGTTACAATAGCATTAAGAGATTTTTTTTAACAAAGGCTAACTTCGCTTTGCTGTTCCTGAATTCCTGAAACCTGTTGGGAAAAGCTTCCCTCATATTTAAAAGTGTTTTGAAATAGCAAATGTAGACATCCATGTTTCAACAGGCTTGGAAAGTGACTCAAAGTTTTCTTTCAAAATCTTTAGCAAAAAGATTTGTTTTCGAATGAAATAACTTCCACTATTGAAAAAATTGTGTTTCCTTTCCCCTGTAGTTTACAATTAAGCTGATTTAGATGAGACTAACGTCTACCATAAAATAAATTTTTTGGATCCACTAATCGTTAGTTCTGGATAGTGAACACGCTTCTCAAGGAGAAATGTTTTAATTTCTGTTAATAAGGAAAGGAAATGTTTAAAAACGTTTCCTCTCGATAACCAACATACCTTGTTAATGCAGCAGCAGATCTGCGAACTCGCCATTTCAACTAAAAATTCTTTAAATTGGCGATGATTACGAGCTTTAGCTATAATGTAGTTGATAATGTTAATCACCAATTCCATAACTTTGCAAATTTCTCCTGGAAATGTCTGCTCACAAAGCGCTTCTTGATGAATGATATAATTGTATCTCTTGATTAATTTTTTCAAAATAGCAACAAACCGGTTTCGTTTGTTGAAATTGAGACAATTGTATCAAGTGGAATATGATGTTCTTCAATGCACTCAAGGCATTTACTATATCCTCTCCACGTCTTTGACTGTTGAGTGGCAATAATCCTAAAAGTAGTTTTTAGGACCTGTAGATGAAATCATACAAAATGTGAAACTTGCGCTGTATTATTTGTCACAAGTCTCGTCAATTGCTATTGATAAAGCTGAAACCAATTTAAGATCTTCGACTTGCTGGTCAGTTATATTCGAAGACATTTTGACTGTTTCAGCATACAATGGTAACTTGTATTTTTAGAATATCTGCTTTGTTCTTAAACTCCCAAAATAGCTCTTCGGATGCATTTATAAAACAACTTTTTATGTATTCACCATCTGTATATGGTTTTCTCTCTCAGCAATGTCTTGACTAACCACAAAACTTGTAATATAAACATTGTTGGAAGATTGCATCCAGTAATTAGATACAGAACTTGATTTTTCTTGACTCCTCTGAAGTTACTCAACTGCTTTCTTCCTTGCATCACCAATAGGATATTTAGTACTAAATGACACGTGTTTAGTTGTAAAGCGTCTTTCCAAATTTGATTTCTTGTTATGCGCCAGTTTTTCCTGACAAATAAGACAGGTCGGAAGGCCATTTAAGTCTTGAAAAAATGGTACAGTCTCAGTCAATTCACCTTTAACTTCACTGTTTTCATCTTCCGTTTTTTCTTTGCTGCTGCTTTGTAGCCATGTCAAACAAGGCACCTAAAAAAAGTTTCATTTTATAATAAAGCCACCAACACAAAATAATTACAATTCTAAAATTGATGACAAAAATGCAGCGGGTTGGAAAAAGGTAGGTAACTTTATGCTTCGAGTAGGTACTGTGGCGCCTTCTGCCCAGTCAGGTGCCCTACGCAGAGAATTTCATTGTGTCTTCAAATAAAATGCACAGAAAAATAGTTATTAAAAAAATTTCTTTGACTCAGAGCATATTGTGGCTTTCTCCACTGCTTTTGGTCATCCACTGTGGGTCTATGGGTGTGACAGCAGGAGGACATGGGACTACAAGTGGCCCTGAGCTTGCTTGACTCTCACAGTGACCTGAGAGAATATCAATTATAAAACAAGAGCAAGGTATCTAGGCTATGGGTGCGGGAGAACACAAAAGGTAACATTAGTATAAAAACACGATTCCCAAATGAAAACATCATGCAGATACAGAGCAAAATAACAGAAAATAACTTAGCCAAAAATCAAAGTCTCTTAACATGGAATGTGAAGAATTATTGTAGATCTTGGAAGTGAGAAGGGAAGTAAGTGGTAATTATAAAGAATTTAAGTGACATGGAGAACAAAACTAGTGACAATGTGTTAGGGTTTCCAAAAGAGGCAATGAGAGGATGAAAGAAGAAATAAAGTGAACATATGCCCCAGGTGGGCAGCGGGCTCTCTCCTGGCCCCTGGTGGTCAGTGTGCATCATTGCGACTGGTGGTTCTTGGTCATTCCACTGTTAGGGCAATTTACATATTACCCTCTTATTATATACGATAGAAATAAATATGGGCTATTCTATCTATCTCCCTGGGCTCCTCGGGAAATGCCTGATTTCAGATGGGAAAACGGCAGGATGAACCTGAAACATCTTGTTGTGCCAGAAAACAAGGGAGTGCTCAAACAATGGTGTGAAATGTGTTAAAAGGGCACAGGAGCCAGCTTGTTGGATTCCCATGGGCTAAATCAGGGACAAATGGAGCATCAAAAGAAATAATAAAGAAATCCATTACATAAAATAGGAAACCATGAATTCATGAAAATGTAAATAAATGAGCATATTAAGTATTTGAAGAGGAATGGCTTAATTTACATGGTATCAAAAATACATCTCCACAAAATACTCATTCATTACAAAGGGAAAGGTAATTTTACAGAGGAGAAGTCTGACAGAAATCTGTATAATCATGTAACCAAAGTGAGCAGTATGACCATGGTCAAATACAGATCCTGTGCCATCCAATGGTGCAGAGCTTGTCTCCAGGTCGCCCCTCTTTTCATCCCTCCTGTGGTTTTCCAAGGGCCTCACGTGCCAAGTGTAGACGAGAACCTGTGTGATCACGGTCCACTATTACCCATGAAAGAGGCCCACAGAGGCCCAGAAAGCAGGCTTTACACAGTCTGGATAGGAAAGTCCAGAGTTCTGGTTCTGGTTCTGATTCTGGTGGGCATTTCCCTTTGTTCTTGGGAGTGAAGTAATTAGAGGACGACCAGCATAGGGCCTGCAGGGAAGGCTGGATGGCCAGCCAAGTAAATTCATCCTTCTGAGACTCGGTTTCCTTTTTATTAAAACAAGTGTATAGTTTTTAAAAATTGAGAACTTTTCTCGCTCTACAAGCCTGTGGTTCCGTGGACCTGCAAATTCTAGTAGCTAAGCTTTTCCGAACTTGAAAACCACCTGAAACAAAAGGTGGTAGCATTCTGCTCTGTGAGCATCTCAGGGGACCTACTGAGGCACTGGGTTCCCACACGGAGGAAAGCAGCCTGAGCGCCCCGGTCCAGGGGCCTGAGGCCTTCAGGTGCCTGAAGCAGCTATCCCTCGAGGGAGGGTGAAGCTGCCGGGTTTTGAGGGGACAACCTTCTTTTCTCCATTAGCCCCCAAGGCCTGCTGGTCCCCCTTCCTCCTCATTGGGGGCCCTGGGCAAGTACCCAGGGTGTCGCTGAGACCCTTTCTTCCAAGCCCAGAGCTTTGCTGCCCTGTGGTCTGGCTCACCTTCTCCTTCCCCTCTTCCCTGAGCCATCGCAGCAGCACCCCTGAAGCACTCCAGGAGCTTTCACTCACAGTATGAGCAGAAGGAGCAGCTGAGCAAACCTGGCAGCAGCCATGCTCCTGGAGCAGCCCCAGCATGCTCTTATTCTCTGGGTGACTCTCCATTTTCTCCTCTTCTTTGGGAATCTCCCTGATTAGACCAGAGAGGGAGGCCTTTCCATAGACCAGCATAACTCTCATGTGTTCATCCATCTCCAGAAAACATGATTTCATCCTTCGCATTTTCAACAGAAGGTGCTCCTGCAGACCCTTTAAAATCCTGGTTGTTGGTGATGTGATCTAACAAATGCTCACAGCAACTCAGTACTTGGCAACCTGAGAACCAGCATGCCCATCATGCACAGCAGAGAATGACCGTGTTTTAAGTCCGCTTGGCAAACCAAATACTTGCCCAACAGCTGTAAGTGCTTCCTCAGCTCACCAGCCTTGCATGCTGCTTAGCCCATATCACAACCTACTACCCTGCCCCTGGGCATTGTGTTTTCCCACCTTTGGCTAGTCTAAAAATGTTCCCATTATGTCTTGATCCCTTAGGTCCAGGGCAGCCGGGGGCCTGCAGGTCGGCAGAGATGGGGAGGGGGTGGGATGGAGGTCACCAAGGCAGCTGCAGGACGGGTCAGGCAGGAGATAGGGCAGAGGAGCCCTTGCCTCTTCTTCTCCTGTCTGAATTGCACCCAGGAGGTAGGCACTCAATGAGCTGAGCAAACAGATGTGAAACTGAAATGCAAACAATTCCCAGGTAACAAAGGATAATGCTCACATTGCCAGTGGGTGTTTCCTTCAAACCCCACAGAGCAGACTTGGCATGAATATCAAGGTGAGTCCATTCACTTCCTCCCAGTTTGAGAATCCTGCCACGACGGGTATTCCTGTGGCAATGACCCTCACAGAAGCTCATGCAACGACAGGAAGCTGCTTGGCCCCAAATTATGCCTAAAACCATACCAGACGGGGCACACCAGGGGTCAGTGAATGTAGAGAGTGTGTGATAAACAAGTTTGCATTTATTTTCTCCTTAAAAATAGAACAGACACTCATACACGTCCAGAAAAGCAGATCCACTTGACGTGAGAGTATGTCCAGATCAAAGCTCCCAGTAGGATGCAGTGGGCTTCTGCCGCTGTGGTGCGGACCAGGCGGGTCACTTCCACCAGCAGGGTCCCAGTTTGGCTTCCTTCTGAGAAAGCCTTTTTGGGGATCTGTGTAAGCCCCCGTGTCTTTTTCTGCTGCAGAGGCGTTACTGAGTCTGGCTGGTTGGCTCGGGCGGCCACGTGGCAGAGGCTCCTGCACTTCCCGCTGCCCCAGAGCTGCTTTCCTGCTGCAGAGAAGGGCAGTGTGCGAGGAGGTCAGACCTGTGGACAGAGACCAGATAGACTTTTGTCATCTCACCTTTCTGAAGAGATGGTACAAAGCATTTAGATTTTAAAAGTTAACTAGCCATCAATTAATGGTTGGAGGAAGTTTAGCCAAGGGCACTGAGATTCTGTCTGATGTCCAAGGTTATAGGCTCTGCTGTGTACGTGTCTGTGAACAGTGCGGGCCAGGTGACCCCTCAGGTCTGCCTGGATCTAAGGTGCAGATGTCAGGATGCTCACATCCTCTCTGTGGTACATGGTCCCATCTCAGAGGAAGTTCCACCTGTGGGTGGTTTCCAAAGACTGTCATGTGTCCTAGGTTTGCTTTTTAAGTCCTAGAAAGTTATCAGGTTCTTCCTGACTTAAAATCCAAGAAGGCAGGTTGGATATGAATTGCTATAGTCATAGACCCTCAGCTCCCCTCACCAGGCCCAGAGATGGCTTAGTAGTAGCCCTGTAAGAGAGAATAGACCTGGTGGGGATTGGGAACACATTGATAGTTGTAGGCAACACTTTTGCTAACCAATAATATATTCTGAGCCATGAAATGGATTCATACTGCAAGTGGCTTTCAAAGACTGATTTTCTACAGTGTAAACAGCAGGTTAAAGGCCATACTATGAGAAAGAGTGGCTGGAAAACCTTAGCCAAGCTAACTTTCCCTGGACAGGTACCTTCACTCAGACATTCCTGGGCCCTCTGCAGAGACGGGGCCAAGTCAACCTTGCCAAGTAGTCATTCGGTCTCTACTAGGCAAGGGACAGGGACATTCATCCTAAGCATGGCCTTGGAAGGGAGATGTCCAATATTAGCAGTATTTGGTTTCCTTGTAACTAATAAGATGGTGGGAGGAATGAGAAATTTATGGGAAATAAGATTTTGCACATCTTTGCTGGTTGGAAAAGCACTTTGATTTTATTCGATTTACTCTCCAGGTAAGTCTAGAGAGAATGACTGAGATAGTTTGTCCCCTTATCATCCCAGGCTTAAACCAAGGCACCTGGGTCTGGGTGCCCCCCCCCCTCTCTCTCTCTATTTCTCTCAATGGGGTGTGAGTGCTCCCTACATGGTCTTGGGGGTGTGATGCCAGGGCAGGAACCTGGATGCACATATCCCATGAGTTATCACTGGCCAAAGTACATACCTTCTATTGCTTCTTCCTCTTTTGTCTTTTCTTAAATTATTTTATAAGAACCAAGAGCCCTCTTTCTAAAACAGACCATACTTGCTTTAACAAAATTTGATTACCATCTAAATCAAGTGCCACTTAATTCTTTCTTTTCCTTTGAAATTCAAACACATGACCAGGTATAGATATCAAATATCCCAACAATCAAGACAATTTATTTATACTCCTATTTTCCCTGCTTCTAATTTCCAAAAATGTAAATCCTTTTTGCTGCAAAAAAACACATGTGGGAAAATTCTTTTAATAAAATCTCTCTACACCATCCAAAGTGTTTCCTGACTATAAAAGGAACCCATGCCACTACCACTTGAAAGTCCTTTAGCACAGAACTTGAGGGGAGGGGACACGCAGTGTGTGTGGTTGAACAGGAGGCATATCTGAGCCTTGGAGGCCTCAGGCCCAGTGGACCAGCAGTGGGCTGGGAAAGAGTGGTGGTACCTTGTCTTGTCCGCTGGCTCCAGCAGCTCAGGGGTGCAAAGGGAGGTCGTGAGTTTCAGTGTGCTGCTTAGCAAAGTTCACAAATACCTGAAGGCAAGGAGAGAACAGGAATAGGTATTTGAGCAAGAAAAGAGAAGAATGGTCCCTTCCACTCACCCACCCACCTCCCCACCCCACTGGGCTTTCTCTTTCCCACAGTTCATACAGAGCCGGCAGGAGCAGCTTGTGTGCTGCGGGTGGGGAGGCTGGCCCACCTGAGACAATTTCTGACAGGGCTTGTTTTTTAGAATTCTGAGCTGAGCCACTGGAGGGCCCCTGGGAGGACTCAGAGGATGTGGGGTAAACAAGGTAGATCCCAAGTAGCAGCATCCTTCTAAGCCTCTGAACAAGAAACTAAAAGTGAAAAACAAAACAGGATCTGATCTCATCTCTCCTTTGTCCTTTATTCAATGCAGTGTGGCCGTGTCTCCTGCTCGCGCCTTCCTCTGCTTATTGGCTGTGAAGGTGCTGCTGAGCCAGCTCCCCAAAGGCTATTGCCGATGTCAGTGTTTTATTGCACAGTCTGTGAGGATGTCTATTTAAAATAAACACACAGCGACAACAAAAGTCCCCAGAAAAAACCCTCAAATGTTCAAATGGATGAGTAGATAAATATGATATAATGGAATGCCACTCAGCCTTTCATAGAGGGATATTCTGACACATGCTACATCATGGATGACCTTTGAGGACATTATGTCAAATGAAATAAGCTAAACAAGAGGAACAGAATACTGCATAATTCCACTTATATGCGGTACATGGTGCAATCTGTATTAAGTAGAACAGTGGTTACTGGTTGCGGGGGTTGGAGGCTATTAGAGAGTTTTAATTTGGGAAGGTGTACAATTTCTGGAGAAAGATGGTAGTGATGATTAAATAACAATGTGAATGTACTTAATGCCACTGAATTGTACATTTAAGACAGGCGATTATGTTATACATATTTTACCACAGTAAAAGTGATCACATTAAAAAAACCTGACACATAGCATAAATATTTATCAAAAATCACCAGATTGTACAGCTTAAATGGGTGCATTTTTTTTTTTTTTTTACAAAAGTTAAGTCACATTAAAGTTGATTTGAAAAGAAAAAAAGAAGCCGCCAACACAAACCAGGAAGGTTGAAATAAAGTCATAGTGTAGAAGGGAAGGATGAAGCAGTTAATGAAATTTGCTGAAGATTAAAATAGTATTAGACAATTTCTGACAGACTGAGTTTTACCCGAGTGGACAGATGCTCAGAGGTTAAACCCCAGGCCCGTGCTGCCTGCCTGTGGTGAGGATTCCAGCCTGGTTGGGCTGTCTGGTAAGGACTTTGCATAGCCCAGCTCTGCACCCGGCTCCCCTCGGGAACTTGCCTGGTCCAGCGTGGTCTGTGTGACCGAGTACTCTTCGATGAGCAGGCTGTCCTTGTGGGAGAGGAGCAGCCGGAAGATCCTGGCCAGGGAGGAGGAAGGGACCTGGAACTGGAGCATGTTGTGGTGCCTCTCCCTCTGCACGCTGCCCGGGAAGTTCCCCTGGAAGAACTGCTCCACGGGGTTCAGGTCGGGAAGCAAGTCGTACTTTGGAGATCTGATCTTCATTGTGACGATGTAGCCATCTCCGAACCTATGGACACCTGCTGCAGTGTGGTACAGGCCCGTTAGTAGTTGGGTCTAAGGCAGTCTCAAAATCAGGAATAGACTCCTCAAAGTATTGGGGGATTAAAGGACACCCTACAAGCCATTTGTGCATGTTTAAACTTAGGAGTTCAGCAAATCTATGTTAAGCTTCCTGTGTCCCACTCCTGGAGGCATGAATGTTCCCTGTTCCTTTTCCTGATTCAACCACTGTTTCCCCCTCCCTGATTTAGCATATTCTTAAGGGCCCCAGGATTTTCCGAATAGTAAATGAGCAATGGCTTCAACTTAAAGTCACTGGCTGCATTAGCCCCTCACAAGAGAGTCAGCCTATCCTTTGATGCTCTGAAGCCAGGTGTAGACTTCTCCTCTCCAGCTATTGTATATTGCATTTTCTTCCAACATAGAGCCCCTTTGCCTGCATTGAAAATCTGCTGTATAGTGTAGTCACCTTCATTCATTATCATAGCTAGATCTTGTGGGTAACTACTACAGCTTCAGGCCCAGCTCTTTCTGTTTCCCCTTGCCCTGTTATGGTATGGAGATGGCGTCTATTCTTAAACCTCACGAACCAGTCTCTGCTGGCTTCTGCTTCTCTTCTGAGCTTCCTCACCTCTTTCAGCCTTCACAGAACTGGACTTAGGGCTTTGCTCTGGATTCAGCTTTGGCTTAAGAGAATGCTGTTGCTGCTTTGATGCTGTATCCAGTCCACTAAAGCGTTCTCCGCATCAGCAATAAGGCTGTTTTGCTTTCTTAAAATTTGTGTGCTCCCTGAGGGAGCACTTTTCATTTCCCTCAAGAACTTTTCCTTTGCATTCACAACGTGGCTGCCTGTGTGGTATAAGAGGCCTAGCTATCGGGCTATCTTAGCTTCTTTGCTCACCTTAATCATTTCTAGCTTTCTATTTATGCGAGAGGGCTGTGACTCCTTCACTTAAATGCTTAGAAGCCATTCTCAGGTCATCAATAGGCCTACTTTCAACATTGCTGTGTCTTGGGGAATAGAGAGGCTTGAGGTGAGGGAGAAAGATGGGGAATGGAGAGTTAGTGGAAGAGTAAGAACACACAGCACTTATTGATTGTGTTATCATATACCACTGGTGCCCTGAACCAGTTATGATAGTAACATCATAGATCACTGATCACAGATAAAAATAAAATAGTATAACAATCATGAACACGTTTGAAATATTGTGTGAATTACCAAATTGTGACACAGGGATAAAAAGCAAGCAAACCCTTTTGGAAAATCAGTTGCTGATAGACTTGTAAGATACAAATTAAAAAATATATTTTTAAGTGTATTATCTGTGAAGCACAATAAGGTGAAGTACAATAAAATGAGGTGCGCCTGTATATAATGTAAGTCCAGTTAAAATACTAGGTTTCTGGAAACTGCACAAAATGATTATAAAGTTGATGTGGAAAATAAATATGTGAAGGAACTGTCAAAGTAATAAAAAATCAAAAATCTCAAGAGGGAATTCGCCTACATGATATTACAAGGTGACTGAGTAAACGCTGCCATGGAAACAGCATGTGCTGTTGTGGGACATGGAGCCCAAACAGCATCTGGAGGCAGATCTGAGACCTGTGTCCCCAGGAAGTGGGGGTGAGGAAAGGGGCCATTCTCTTTGACAAGGAAAGGCCACAAGGTGACCAGAGTTATGTTCCGACAAAGTAACCTTAGGTCCTATGTCAGTGAATGAAACATAAACGGAAAACCACGTGGAGCCTGGCCAGTGTGGCTCAGTGGTTAAATGATGACCTACAAGGCACAAGTTCAGATTTTGGGCTTTATTTCCAGTAAGGATGTGCAGTATGCAGCTCATCAATAATGATTCTCTCTCATCATTGATATTTCTATCTCCCTCTCCCTCTCTCTTCCTCTCTGAAATCAATAAAAATGTATTCTAAAAAATAAATAAATAAATAAATAAATAAATAAAAAAGATGACTTGGAAAACAAAATATAAAGAAAGCAAATGAAAATGATAAAATTAGCCAAGAATATGGAGGATGTTTGTTTAACCTTACAGTAAGGAAGGCTCTTTAAAGCAAAACAGCGTAAAAAGAGAATACAAATCATTTTCAGGAAAAATCACTCCAGTAAGATTACAACTTACCTCCATGCAGATGAACCCAGGTTGTGATCTGTTTACTGTGGAGAGAAATGAAAATACATAAAATACAAAAATGTTGCTGACACTGCGCTTATCTTACACTATTAATAAATTCAAGTCAATTTTTAGTCCATTTTGAGTACTGGCACCTGAGAGACTCCTGGGCCCAAGGAGAGGGGACAGCACGTGGGCGCTTCCTCCCAACGCTGGTGACCTGAGGACCTGTGTGCTCTCACTTTCCTTTTGTAAAACTGGGAATGGGATTGCTGCTCCAGGTGGCAATACTTATTTCAGTTTTTAAGAGGATGGCAAACTGCTTTCCAAGTGGTGTAACTTTCCTTTCCCACTACCAATGTGGAGACCAGTGTCACCATTACTTGGTATTGCTGGCCTTTTGATTTAGCCTCAGAGTCTGTAGTGGTTCCTTCTGCTATTCATCTGTGCCCCCTAGTTCCAAAGGAGGCCAACCATCTTATTTTTTTCAGTCCTCATCTAAGGATACATTCTTACTGAATTTAGAGAGAGAGAGGGAGGGGGAGAGAGAAAGAGAGAGAGAGAGAGAGAGAGAGAGAGAGAGAGAGAGAGAGAGAGAGAGAGAAAAGGAAATGTGAGAAAAAATGACTCTTTGCCTCCCTTTTATGCCCAACTGGAGATGAAACCCACAACCTTTGATGCTTGGGCTGATGCTCCACCCAATTGAGACACCCGGCGACAATGTCACAAGTCCACCTGGGTAAAGTTGTTTTGCTCCTTAAAAAACGTGGTCATTATTCTCATCATTGAGTTTTGAAAGTCTCTTATGTGTTCTGGATACAAGTATATGATTTGTAAGTATTTTGTTTGTGTCTGTGGTTCCTATTGTCATTTTCTGAATGGTGACTTTTGAGATAAGTGTTTCAGTGTCTGATGAGCAGCAGCTCAGGACATGGACCTTCCAGAGTCAGCCCTGCTGGCACAAAACCAAGCAGAGTGAGTATAGAAATGATATAACACACATATGCACACCACACACACTCACACTCCCACACACCACATCACACACCTACTGCACACACTCACACTCACATACACCTCAGCATACACACCCCACATACTCACACACACATAGGACCATGCCCACACAGAAGCAAAGAACTGTGACTAAGGGGTGCTAGCCACAAGGTGACCTTGGGCCTCTTCCCAGCCCTGAATCAACAGAAATGATGAAACAAGGGCACATCCATACCTCTGGCGATATTTGTTTACGAAAAGACGGAACTTTGTCTCTTGATGAGCTATATTTTCGGCTTCGATACAAATAATTGTAAGTGCTCATCCCCTTTGACACTAAAAAGGAGAAGAGAGGAACCATCAACCACTGTAGGCACCTACCCAGCTCCCCTGAGCTGCACCCTGGGGCGTCAGGTCCTCATCCAGTTTGCTCGGGAGCCGCTGGACAGATGGCTGCTGCACAGCCCGCCTGGACTTGGGGCAGCAGCCAGCAGCTCCTCACACTCCTGAGCCTGCTGTCCCGCACCCCTGGTCCCTGGAGGGGCCGCCCTGCCTGCCTCACAGCCCAGAGAGTAAATATGAACCTGTGAGCGATGCCTGCCCAGCGCACTCCCAATTAAGCTGAGAGCTGGCTCCAGCCTGGGACAGGAGCAGGCCCCCTCGGGCTGCTCGCCCAGGTGCGGGCCGCCTGGAGCAGAGCCTCTGCCCTGGCCTGAGCCGTCTGCACAAGAGCTGTGGCTCCTGTTGTGTTTGGACCTGACTTATCTGCCCTGATTCACTGCACCTGGCTGCTCCTGCATTCTTCCACCTCCCGCCCAGCCTGGGATCAGCTGGAGGATATAAACTTCCATTGGGTATATTCCAGTGGGTTTGCATAAATACCATCAAAATGAGCATGTGCTCATGTCCTCTGTGTCTCCCAGAGCTCACACTCATTCTGAGTACATTTATGTAACACATTGAATTCTGACATAACGATAAAGTAGGGGAGGCACAGCACACAACTTTAAACCTCAAGGCGAGGAACTTTGAGGCCTGAGTGCAAAGTCCGTGCTTTAAAAGGACGTCTACCCATTTCTCTCCAACATCAGCTCGGGGCAATTTCTAGAATCCTGCTCTTCCTTAATTCCACCCAGGTGCTCTCTGTTCCATGTCCCATGACTGTGGCTTTTCTTCTTCGTCTGCAGTGGGCACTCTCCATGTCCTGCGTCTTCCCAGCAGATCTCACCCTCACAGTGTCTCTCCCATGAGTTCTGAGGACTCATCAGGAGCCCCTGTCCCAAGCTTCAAATGGCAGAGTCCAGCAGCAAGCGGCTTCCCATGTGGCCCTGCAGCGCCCCCTGCAGCGTGCTGGTGCCTTGTGGGCTCCATCCTCTGGAGTGCGGAGTGCTTCTAGTGACTCGCAGAAAAGGCAATGGGACCCTCTCCACGCCTGGTTAGAGGGACTGGCTTCTGCCCTGCTGCCCCTGCTCGTCCTCTCATTCGCTCAGCAGCCGAGCTATGATTTGCTGTGCCATGTTGGAAGATGCATGTGACAAAGAAGGGAAGGAACCACCTGCCCAGTTCTCCTGCGGACTGACCCTCCAACAGCCTGGTGATGAGCCTGGAGTGGGCCTCCCCGCTGAGATGAGACCACAGGACCAGCCAGGACCTTGACTGAAGCCTCAGGGAAGATCCCGGGCCAGAGGACCGGCTGAGCTGTGCCGGACTCCTGACCCACAGGCCCGGTAAGGTACTACACGTGTGCTTTTAAGTGCTGCGTTTTAGGCTAATTTTCCTGCAATGAATATCCCAACTTTACCTGGAAATTTACTTTTTGGTGTCCAAATGCCCCAAAGTAGACATATTCAATCCTGAACTCACTATG